CAGGACTGTCCAAGTGTCCCAGCAACTCTGAGAGCCAAAAGCACAGAATCCACAGCATGAATTGCACCACATGCGTGACCTGATGCTGCCCAGAGGGGACACCAGCCCCACACAGGCAGAGATGCCCCAGCTGGGGACTGGTGCCAGGGGCATCAGTGCTGGGGGCTGGCGACAGCTCATCTTGCACCACAGGTCAGGCTCTCTGCCTGCCAGCACTTGCCACCCTTGGGAAAGGTTTTCCTCCTCACTTCAGATTTCTTCCAATCAGAGAGGCCCAGAAACCTGCGTCAAACCAAAACCACCAAAATACCCAGCAAAATCCCTTGAATCCAATGGCTGGAACCTCGAGAAAACCTCAGTGCACCAAGAGCCACCGTGGGGCAGGCACAGCCAGATACAGGCACTGCCCAGGCACCAGTGGGACTCCTTCAGACACTGAGCATGCAGCAGCACCAGCACTGGCAGGCAGGACACATGCTGCAGCCACATCAGCAGAGTCCAGTGCCCAGCCAGCCCCATGGGCACGAGTCCAGTGTGGCTCCTGCAGGACATCCACCGTGGGGAGCCCAGTCCCTGCCAGCACTGGTGCTGCCCCCGCCACAAACCCCCAGACAGGATTAGAGACTCTGGGCAGAGCTTTAATTACTCCTGGCTCCCTGGGGCCAAGCAGCTGAATTAACTAGCTTTGGGGCTGGCACAGCAGGGAGTTGCCAGCTCAGAGTTCTGGAGCTTCCCCTGGCTTGGTGGGGGAATCCCAGGGCAGGCACAAAGCCACTGACCACCTGCAGCATCCCAGACTCCGGCCTTGCCCAGGCAGGGATGTGCAGCTGCCCTGTGCCAGGACACTCAAGGAAGGGATTTTCCCCCCACACTAATAATGACCAACCTCAAATCCCTGTGATGCCACGCTGAGGGCACAGCCCTGGGGTCCCACAGGTTCTGTGGCAGCTCCTGCACCGAGGCCAAATCCATCACAGCCCCTGGCTCGGTGCTAATCCCTGCTCAGACCTGCGCCAGCCCAGGAGGGACAGGCTGGGCGAAGGACCTGAGGATTAAGCTCATTTCAGCATCGAATTAGTCCCGATTGGGGTCCGGAGACACAATTTCATTTTCTCTGCCATGCTCCAGTGAGCTCACACAATGGCACTAATCCACCCACAGCCAGACTGGATTTGCTGGTCAGGACCCAGGTGGGCTGGGGAAGATGTGGGCACCGACGGCGCTGCTCTGGCTGCATCCATCCCCTCAGATCAATGCCATGCTCCAGCTCTCCTTGGGGCTGGGGACATGGTGCAGGAGCCTCCTCACCCCTGGCATGGCTGTCCTGCAGAGCCAGCCCAGCTGGCACAGCAGAAGCTTTTGGATGTGTGGTGAGCAGGGAGAGCCAGAGGGACACCAGAGCAGCTCCTGCATACCCCCATTGCACTCCCAGAGTTCATCTCCAGCAGTTCTGCACACAGAAATGCTCTTGCACCACGTCAGCAGAGGAGGATGGAGAGGAGTAAAGCCTTGCCTTTGAAAGAAGGGATACACAGACATCCAGGGATGCTGGCAGGAGGGGGGACTAGTCAGACAGTGAATAAAACAACCAACGTCAATGGTTTGTGCCACAAAAATCCGCAGTCAAATCGAGAGAGGGGTGAAGCACAGCGTGCATCCATACACACACAAATACGTCCAGATGGGTTTTGGCTTTCCTGGCCCTGGGATGGGCTTTCCAACCCCTGAAGCAGCAGAGCTCCTGCCCCTGAGCTGCACCATAAGCCTCACCACAGCATCTCCACAAGCAGGGCCAGAGAAGCTGCACCCCTGGGCCCACAGCCCAACAGCACCAGGGTCGGGTATTCACATCAGAGAGGACAAAGATCATTTTACAGCAGTTCCAGCTGGTGCAGGGACTCAGAACTGCCAGCAAGAGCAGCCTCTTTCTCTGCTAAAGGCTTTGCAGGGCCACTGAGTGATAGGGACAAGAGGCCAGACAGAATGAGAACCAGCACATGGTGGGCAGGGCTGGGTCACTGCTCTGGCTCTTTGAGGCAGTGGCTCTCCAGCACCACCCTTTTCCCCAGTTCCCTCCCCAGCAGAGCTGTGCTATAAACCAGCTCATAACACAAAGTTACACAGAAAGTGGAGATTGCAAAACTCACCAGTGACTGTTTGAACCGGGAATGGGTTGTGACTGTGCTGTGGTTCAGCTATGCTGCTGTGGCTGTCCCAGCTCGGCGGCACATCATTCCTGACACAGTGGGAAGCAGGACCCAGCACTCAGGAAGCACTGAGTGCCTGCGAGCAGCCCGTGCTCCTGGCCCCTCTGGTGCAGCCAGATGGGTGGATTCTGCTTTATCAGCAAGTCAGCTCAGCCCTATCGGCCAGGAAGCCGTGTTCACAGTGTGCCTCCCCCTCGACGTTTCCCAACGCGGCGGGAGCAGCGACGTGCAGCAGCCTACCTTTTATCAGCCAGCAGATGTTGCTAGAACTGTTGCTGCATGTGAAATTCAGGCATGCCCAGCACCACTTGGATCCCTGCACCAGCCATGCGGTGCCAGGGTAAACACCCCCGCCCCCTTCCTCCCGGGATCAAAACACTTGGGGGTTGCAAAATAGACACCCCATGAAAGGAAAGGCATGCCACAGAAACATTACAGCTGTCGAGGCTACTTCTCCCGGAGCGTGCTGGAGCCCCGGAGCCAGCACAGCCTCCCAGGCTGGAGCTGCCTGTATGGCTGCAGAGCTGAGCCCTGATCTGTGCTGGCAAGGTAGGCACTCCAACCCTAACCCTAGCCATGCCCTGGCTTCCCTGCAGTGGCTGCCTTGAGGGCAGCATTCACAGTGTGTGGGACATGGGAGTCATCACAGCCAGGCAGGCAGAGGGATGCTGCCACCAGCACAGGTACCCAGGGGATGCTGATGGCAGGGAGGTCCCATTCACCCTGCCTGCCATCCCGCTGGCATCCCAGGGCTGCCGTGAAGCCTGTTGAGTGTGACCCACCTTACAGTCATTCCTTGCAAACTAGAAAGTAATTTCCCAGCCGATGGGGCCGTTTCAGTGTACTCGGCCCAAAGCAGTCGCCACTCGCCGCCCACGGCGTCGCACAGTGCAGGGAGCAGGGATTTTTTGCAAGCAGGGTATCTGAGTTTTGCTATCACTCGAGAGAGAGCTGGGAAACCCCATGGCAAAGCCATCACAGTCACTTTGGAGTCAGCACTTCCCCTGCAGCGAGAGGGGAAGGTCCCTCCAGAGGCTCTGTGTGCCCTGTGCTGAGCATCCCCAGCTGCAGCTCCCTGTATGGTGAGAGCATCCCTAACCCTGCCCCCAAGCATTGGCCTTGGCACAAGGCAGGTGCAGCAGACCCAGTGAGGTGGCTCTAGTGACAACTGTAGGGACTCAGCACCCCCAAAGCAGGGCACTATCAAAGTGCCACAAAACACAGAGTAGGTGACAGCCACCTGTCACGCCCTGCTCCCTGCCCAGCTCTCCCATGTCCCTGCACACAGGCTGTTGGAACCTCTCAGCCCACACCAGAGCTCCTCCTCATGATGCACCCACAGCACAGCAGGGCACAGCACAGCCCTCTCCAGCCCCAGGGATGAGCAGCTCCCCAGGAACAGTTAAAAAACCCAGGAAGACAGTCTCCATCTTCACAACCTTGGAACCACATCAGGTCAGGCTGCCACCCTGATGGCTTCAGGAGCACAAGGACCTGAGCCAGGAGTCGGGACCTGGAGGAGAGAGCTCCTACCATGGAGGGCTGGATCCCCGTGCCCACAGCAGTGCTGAGGCTCTGCAGAGCACCTCCCTGTGCCTGCACTAAGTGCCCCTCGCATGCCACTGCTGGGGCCCACACTGCTCTGGGCACAGGCACGAGCACTGCAGGGACCTGGGTGGCCGCAGGCAGCCAGCACAGCGAGCCAGCCCACAACCAGGAATGTCCTGCTCTAACCAAGGGCCCGGCACCACAGGGACATTGTGTGCAATGCTCCTGCTATGGACAAACCACTGAGCTACCCTGAGCCCAGCCCTGTCTCCCCTCCACAACCCACCCAGGCATTGTCACCAAACCGCTGCTGGTCACTGCCCCGTGCCACGGTGTGCCCAGCACGGCAATTCACGGAGAATTGAACGAGCCAACAGCCCCGGCCCATCGGCCGTGCCAGCGCAGCTCGGGGCGCGCTCAGCAGCGCCGGTACGAGCCGAGCACCGGAGCCCCGGAGCCGCCGGGCAGGAGCTGCCCGGGGCCGGCCTGGCACGAGCCCGGGGCCGGCCGGGCACGGAGCCCTGACAGCTCCGTAACCCGCTGGACAGGTGGCCGCGGCTCCCGCGGGCTCCCAGGCACCGGCCGCGCCCGAGCTGGGTGAAAGGCCACCGGGCGCCGCGGTCCCCGTGGTGCCGCCGCTCCCGCCGGGGAACGATCCCGAGCCGCGTGTGCCACCGACAGCACCGGCGCTCGCACTCCCGCCATCCCGGTCCGGTGTGCTGCCGGCGGCGGGACCCCTCCGGCACGGCACGGGACTCCTCGCGCTGTCCCGGATCCTCCCCTCGGCCCGGGACCGGGACTCGGAGCCGCCCTGCGCGGCCGCCGCTCCGGCGGGGCCCGCGTGCGAAAACCGGCCCCGCTCCGCCGGGCGAGGAGCGCCCCCGCCCGCCCCACTGTCGCCTCCGCCCGCCCAGGGGCCCGCGGGCCCAGCCGGGCTCCCGCCGAGCCCCGCGCCCGGCCCAGCTGCGCCCGCCGGGGTTACGAAACACCAACAGCGCGGACCGGACCGGACCGGACCGGACCAGAACGCCCCGGCTTCGGCCCCGGCCGCGCTGCTCCCCGCCCGGCCCTGCTGCGGAAGGCGGACGGGGTCCGGGCCCGCTCGGTCCGGCTCGGTCCGGTTCGGTCCGGTCCGGTCCTGGCACCAATGACGGCTCCGCGCTCCCGCCTTTGCCCACCTGCGGCCACGGCGGCTCCGCGGCTCCGCTGCTCCCGCGCGGGCACGGCACGGGAACGGGACCGGGACCGGCACCGGGAACGGCTCCGGGAACGGCACCGGGTAACGGAGCGGTACCAGTCACGGGGCGACAGCACCAGGTAATGAATGGCACTGAGTGACTGCACTGGGCACCGGGCAGCAGTGCCGGTACCGGGCACGGGATAATGGCATCAGGCAGTGGCACTGGGTGACGGTACCGGGCACGGCACAGGGTAACGCCACCAGTACCAGCACGAGGTAATGGCACAGGGTGTCATAAGTGAGTAGTGGCACTAGCACTAGAATTCAAAACGGCTTCAGGCTTCAACACCAGCAGCTCTGGCAGGACACAAACCAGCACCAGAATTTGGCAGTAAGTACCAGGGAAGCCCAAAGCAGCACCAAGCCTTGGTTCTGGGAGCGGGAATGACCAAGTCAGTACCAGGTGGCCACAGACGTGGCTGCAGGGCTGCCCAGGCTGACACCAGGCCCTCTGTGTGGAGCAGCCCTGGCTGCACGGTGCTCCTTCCCACCACAGGCCTGGGCTGACACTTTGCAGCTACGTGCATGGCCGAGAACCCCAGTGCTGCCACAACCTCCGGCACCTGCTAGGTCAGGACGCTGCATCCCTTCTTCCAAGCTGCCACATCCCCTGCGAGCTGTGAGGAGACCCAAGGCACTGCCAGCTCCTCCGCAGCTGCTCGAACAGGGAAAGTTAACAGTGGCCATAATAAAACCATCCTGAGGAGCTCTTGCGCAGCTGGCACCCACAGCAGACTCCTCCTGGCAGCACTGGCACCCCCGGGCAGCGGGGTAGCCCGGGTGACGGGCACCCCGGGCGCGGCTGCCGTGCGGTGGTGGGCAGAGGCGGCGGCAGGAAGCAATACTGGGTGTGCTCGTTCTGCCCCAGCGCTTGCACCCACCGCATGGGATCTCCTGGGCTTTCACTTTCGCTACCAGCTCATCTTCTGTGGCCTGAAAAAACTCCGGAGGGAAATTCAGCAAACGCAGGTCCCTCTCCTGCTCTGGTAGAAGCACGGGTGACCCTTCCCTGGTGGGAGTCCAGGGAGGAGGGGCTCGTCTCTCCTCGTGCCAGCGCTGGAACAGGATCACTCTCAGACAGCTGGTGCAGCAGCAATTGCAAATCACTTGGCCTCTGTGTCAGAGCACAGCCCGAAATTCCCACCTCTCCACTGCTTTTATCTATTGCTCTTGTACTAAAGTCCTCCGGCCCCAGCTTGGGCTCCTCACTGCCTCTTCCAGCTCCACACTTCCAAGAGATAAATACCTGTGGGCTGGGCAGGCACCAGCCCAGCACCTGCTCCGTGCAAACACCACCACAAAACGGTGCTTTCCATCTTGCCAGCCCCACTCCGTGCCTGGAGCAGCCTTGGTGAATGACTGAATGAGTGACTCCAGCCTGAACAGCCCCCAGCTCCCACTAAATGTTTTGCTGCCTGCGCTCACCCGCTTGGGAGAATCTCACTCACAAAGGCTGACACATCGCTGCTGAGCTGCTGCCAGCAGAGCCCTGGCTGCAGTTCCCAGTGCTCCTCTCACTCCAGACCTCACAGAGAGGTGAGCTGGGACTCTGGCACGCAGGGACAGGCACCCAACGTGAAGCCAGCAGCTCCCACTCTGTCTGTGTTCAATGAGACAGAAGAAAAGGAGCGGAGAGTGCAGCGCAGGGCCCTGGTGCCTGCCCACCCTGCTTGGCTGGGACGCTCCTGCTCTGGTGAGTTGCATCACGAGGACACGTAGCTTTCACAATCCCTGGCCCACATAACCCATTGGTGCAGGCAGCCAGGCGGGCACTGGCTGCTCAGGCCAGAGAATCAAGGTCACACACAATGTCTGTGGCTGCTGGGGCTCTGTCTGGGCACCACAGATCCAGGGGTATCTGGAGGATCCCAGGGACACAGCACTCCCTGTGCCAGAGACCTGCACAGCTACACGTGCTTGGGAGAGCTGGAAGATATACAAAAAACACCCTCAGTTCCCTCTCATTTCTCTCCTTTCTCCCTCCCCTTCTGCTATGAAGGGGGAAAAAAGGAAAAATAAATTAGTGTTGGGAGAGAAAGTGGAGAGTGCTGAGAGGGCAAATGGAATCCAATAAAATCCAATCCAATCCAATCACAATTTGTTTTCACCAGGTCCCAAGGAAAACTCCGAGCTGGCTGGTGGAGGTGTTACCAGGAGAAATTCTTCCTTTCCAGAGGAAAAGAACGGAGGAAAATGACTGTAGCAGTGACCGATGGAGAGGCTGCCCCTGGATCTGCCCTAGAACTGCCCCAGCTCCACCCCAGCGATGCCCCCAAGGGATCTTAGCTCTGCCCCGGCTCTCTTTGTGCCTCAGAGAGTCTCGGGAAGCCTCTGGGAAGGTGAGCATTATGCAGGCTGAGCCGCAGCCGGACGCATGGCCACCTCGCATGAGCTCAGCAGGATGCCGAATGACGCCGCGCATTCCGGGGACAGAGGGAGTCTGGAGCTTGGTAATGGATTTCCGAGAAAATTGCCTCTGTGTTTGGAGCAGGAGCGCAAAGAGTGCAGGCGGAACGGCCTTTCTCTCTAAGTGGCATCTCAAGGGTCTTAATTATTTCTCAGGAGTAGAAACATTTATTTAGGCGGCTCTGGAGAGGTCCTGACGCTTTTGGCTGCTGCCCTCCGGGTACATCCTGTATGCGAGGCTCCTCTGCAATCCTCCCCGCTGCTCCCGGGATGTGCAGAGTGCTGGGCTTGGGCAAAGCACAAACACCCAGCCACGGGATGTGCGGAGTGCTGGGCTTGGGCAAAGCACAAACATCCAACCACGGGATGTGCACAGTGCTGGGCTTGGGCAAAGCACAAACACCCAGCCACGGGCTGTGCACAGTGCTGGGCTTGGGCAAAGCACAAACATCCAACCACATCACCTGTGGGCAGGACACGGCCTCAGCTCCATCCCCTCCTGCTCCCTGGGAAGCAGGAGCTCTCATGGGGGAGCCCAGCCCCATCCCATCCCTGCTTTGCATCCCTCACGCTCCCGGATCTCAAAACAAAACCCCGTTGTGATAATCCGGCCCAGCTAATGTGAAACAGATGAATCCCCACATTAGTCACAGATTCACATTTTCCCACAAAGGTCCCACTGGAGAGCCAGTGTGGATGGGCCCTGCGGGGTTCCAGCCCTGGTGCTGGTGCAAGAGGCAGCCTGTGAAGAGTGAGGGGGACAGGGCAGCAGCACAGCCCCTGCCAGAGCCCCGCCACCCGTGGGCAGCACACGACTTGGAGCCATGGGCAGGGCCAAGTGGGGGCACCAGAGATGTTTGTCACTGGCACAGGCTCAGCCTGGTGGTGCCCAGTGCCAGGAGGAGGGGATGATCTGCTGCAGCAAAAAACGGAAATGACATTTTGTCCAAGGGGGAATTTCCACAGGAAAACTCTGCTTCCAGCCACTCGGATATGGCTGGGAACAACCCAGCAAACACTTGGCCTCAGCAGCCAAGCAGCGCCATTGCTTGGGCAATGACTCCTTGTTTCCTCCAGAGTTCCTCCTGCCGGGAAAGAACATCCAGTTTCTGCTACTGAAACAGCCAGGACAGCAAGAGCCCAAATGGGTCTGCAGAGGGCACCAGAACCCCCCCATCAGCTCAGTGAGTATCTCTGCACCTGAGGGGGCATGGGGGCCCTGCAGCACCCACAGCCCAGCTGGGACCAAGGGCACAATCAACTCATGCCCACCCCAGTGCCAGGGCTGGCTGGGGGCATCAGGAGCACACACACCGGGGCTGCACTTGGCCCCCACACCAGGCTGTTGCATCCCAACATCCCTGCACATCCCCAAGCATCCCTGTCCTCTCCCAGCATCCCTGCACATCCCCAAGCTTCCCTGTCCTCTCCCTGCATCCCTGCACATCCCCAAGCATCCCTGTCCTCTCCCTGCATCCCTGTTCTCTCCCTGCATCCCTGCACATCCCCAAGCATCCCTGTCCTCTCCCTGCATCCCTGCTCTCCCTTGCAGAGCTCAGGTTGCCACAGTAACCACTCAGTCCCGGCCGTTCCTGCCATCAACGTGCTGCCACAGGTCAGCCCAGTCCAGCAGCTGCACCAGGGCCAGGGCCCTTCACCCCATGCTGGGGTGAGCAGAGCCCTTGGTGCTGGTGCCACCACAGCCAGGTGCTGCATGGTGAGCCAGGATGGGACACCTGTAGGGAAGCAGGCAGGTTGTGTCCTCCTGGAGTGGCTGGGAGGTGGTGTTTTTGGAGATCACACTGTGCTGGAGCTCTGGGTCTGACCTCTGCCACATGTGGCAGTGGAAGCCACCACTGCTGGGCTCTGCTCGGCTGTGTATTTATCTGAGTGTGATGCAATATTTATTTGCCTGTTGTGCTCTGAGCACTGGAAGCAGGGATTGGGATGGCTCTTGGCTTGGCCAGCAGTGGCATGTGCTCTGCAAGCTCAGCACGTGTTGCTGTGGGAAGATCTCAAAAAGCACCTGGGAGGGCAGAGGAGACCTTCAGGCTGGTCCTTGGGCAGGTGACAGCTGAGTCCTGGGGGTCTCTGCCTCCCACCCCTCACTGCTTGGCCCTGTGGATGGGGCTGAAGCCGCAGATAAACTGTGGCCTCTCTAATCCCTGTCTGCTGCCTTATTCCCAAGGACTGTCAATATTGCACAGCTCAGACACCCCAGGGCCCAGTGGGACCCTGCACGAGAGGCTGCTCAGGGCTGGCCTTGCTGCAGGGCTGCCCTGGCAGGTGGCTGCCCATCCCCACGGGGCCGCCCTGTGCCCGTCACGCAAGTGCCCGCATCCCAAGCGGATTATCTGCATTTGGAAACCCCTAATCCGTTTGCACGCTTGGCTCAGACACTGTCCCCACTCCTCCCCACTGTGCTGCAGCCCTGGGCAAGGAGCAAAGCCACCCTGTGACCTCCTTTTGGAGCCACAAACAACCTCATGCCCCAGCACAGGCAGAAAGCAAGGGCTGCAGGGCTGACTGGGGCAGGAGGAGGGGGACAGGATGTTGGCAAGTGGCCCTTGCCTCAGTTGCTGCAGGGGTTTTTCCAGCACAGGGACGTTCCCTGGGCACTTTTTCCTGCTGCCTATCAGGCTCCCAGCCTGCTGCTCCCCAGAGCATTGACAGCAGGAGCTCTGAGGTGGGAGCAGTGGTGGCCCCATGACCCCATCACTCAGGGCTGAGCAGGGCAGGTGCCAAGAGGGATGCAGAGGGCCCAGGGAATCCCTGACACTACATGGTTGTGGTAACCCCAGGGGTTGTGGATGGGTAAGAAAATTCCTTAGTCCTGGGTTCTCAACTCCATCCTGCAGCTGCCAGAGGGGAGCTGGTACCTGCCAGGGCAGGAATGGGTTTGTGGGGCCTCGGCAGAGCCATGGTTTGGTTTGACAGTGAAATGGAGGGGTCCTGGAGTGGGGCTGGTTCCCAAAGCAGGGACATGGTCAGCTCAGCCCTGAGCAGGATGCTCCAGGGCACACAGGGCAGAGAAAACTCCAGTGCACCTCCAGCCCCTCAAATGATGCAGCACAGCCAGTTCCACATGACCTGCATGGACAATCCCTCTAATCCTGCTCTGACAGAGAAATAATCTCTCCCTCTTGGCATCATCAGAGCGCAAAGCCTGGAATGATCCTGCTCTCCGTGGCATTGCAGAGGGTTAGGGGTGCCAGTGCTGGGGTGGGATCCACCAGGGCCCTGTGGCAAAGCGTGTCACTGTCCCCAGCCCGTGCTCCCAGCCCCACACACCCATCCAGCCGTGCCTTGCAGAGCCTGGCACCCGCTGCCCCCAGCCCAGTCACCTCCACCCACAGCCCATCGCCCCCCAGGGCAGCATCACTCACAGGGGCCCCAGCGCAGCCCCAGACACCTCGGGCTGAGAGCAGCCAGAGCAGGGCCCCAGCGCAGCCGTGCCCTCCCACGCTGGCACCGGCATTTCCTTTACACAAGCAGAGGAGACCCAGGCGCGTCTCTGGGGCAGAGAAAGCAACCAGGAGGCCGGGCCGGGGCCATTGCCCCCTGCATGCCCCGGGGAGGGCCCCGGGCAGGGGCAGCTGCCCACGCGTGCCGGGCAGGCGGCGGGGCCGGCGCGCAGCGAGCAAACCGCAGCTGCGGCAGCGCGGCCGAGTGCGCAGAGGGAGGCCCCAGTTCCCGGAGCAGGGTCAGGCGGGTGCCGCAGGCAGAGCCAAGCTCACACCTCAGAGCACGTCGCTTCAGGGCCTTTATTTCGGAGAAAGTTAAAGCCTGTAGATACAGCAATAAAATATACAAAAAAATAAAATTTTTTACAGTATTGAATGCTGCCAGGGATTGCGGCTGGAGGCAGTGAGCGAGCAGAGGGGCAAAGGGCCCTCGTCGCCCCTGAGCATCCCCAGGGCCAGCCACCGACCCCCTCCTGCTCCCACACAGCTTGGAGGGGCTTGCCCAGACCCCACAGCCATGGGGATCCTCTCCCCTGCCCTCTGGTTCCCTGCCCACCAGCTGGGAGGACTCAGAGGGAGCAGCTCTCCCACCCCTCCACTGCTCATCTGTGTCTGTTTGCCCACTGCATGGAAAGGGCAGGAGGGCTCCCCCAGTTTTTTAAAATGCAGGACCACAACCACCAACCCCCCAAAAGTCAGGACATCTGCCCTTCACAACAGCCCTGTCACTGTCCTGCACTGCCCCACAGCAGGCTCCTCTCCTCACATCCACCTGCTCTCTTCAACTCTTGACCCTTCCCACCTTAACTTCGAGGGCCAACCTCCAGCAAAAATGCCACATGAAGCCCCCAAGAAGCTGCAGACCCCATGCCTGGCCCCTCAAAATCCAGAGAGGAAGGGACAGGCCAGGTGCCCCACTGTCAGCCATGCTGGTTCCCCCAATTCCCCAGGGTCCAACTCGTCTAACTCAGCACAATTGGAAGCAAGACCATGCTCCCAGCACCAGCCTGGCCACAGGGAAGCCAGGACAGCCTCTGTAGCTTCACCCAGCTCCCAAAATGGGCCACAGCTGCAAATGCTGTTCACACACAGGTGCCGTTACTGGGAAGCAGCACTGCCCTACCCCAGGGACACCAGCCATCCCAAAAGGAGCCTGGGCTGCTGGCACTGGCCAGACCATTGTGCCCAAAGCAGGAAGCTGGGGAGAAGAACAAGCAGCTCCTGAACCTCTGGGCTCCCAGAAAACCCAGGCTGAGTCCAGCAGGGGCAGTGCCTGCTGAGTCCAGGGTGGGAGCACCTGGATACATCCACCTGCAGCTGAGCCCTGCACAGGCCATCCTGGCTAAAACCAGTGCCAGGTGGGTGCAGAGAGGGGACTCACCCCAGCACCCTGCAAGCTCTAGGAGGTGCTGGGAGCAGCAGGGCAGACCCTGCCACATGGCCAATCCCCTCTGCAATACCAGACTTGTAGGGTCTTGTGGGTTTGGGTGCAGGCAGTCAGGGCAGCAGCTTCCAGCAGCGGGACCAGGGCTGTGGAAGCGTTTGTAGGAACTGTGGCTGCAATCGGAGGCAAATAGGCACTTGAATGAGCAAAAATAATAGAAAACTGTTATGGAAGGAAATAGAAAAAGGTTCATCCCCCTCCCCCAGAGAGGAGCTGCACCACCCCGGAGAAGGGCTGCGCTGCTGGGTTAAGTGAGGGCCTGACCCATTCAGGGACCCCGGCAGGTCCCGAGGGCGGGCCCGGAGCAGCTGCAGCCGAGTGGGACAAATCCGGGGCCGCGCTCTGGAGCTGGGAAGGCAGAGCCCTCACATGGGCGAGGACGCACACTCTGGGGTCAGCTCCATGTCGAAGGTCAGCGACTCTGCGGGCAGACACAGCCAGGGTTACGGGGCCCGTGCGGGGTGGCAGCCAGGGCCCCCTGGAGCCCCCCCCGACTCACCAAACTGCCCACCCGCGTTGCTCTCCGCGCCCTCGCTGCTGTTGCCGAACTGCATGAGCGAGTCCAGGGTGCGCGGGGACATGGGCAGGTCGATGGTGTTGCTGAAGGAGGTGCTGTCCGAGGGAGAAGAAGCACAGAAATCTCTGGAGTCAGGGCCTGGCCAGAGCTCTCTAATACCCCCTCTACCCGCTGAGGGGCCCCCGGGCACGGCCCAGCGGCCCCCAGAGCTCTCCAGAGGAAAGGGGCCCCGGAGGGGAAGAACAGGGCTGTGGTTTGGGCAGCAGCCGGAGCCTGGCTCAGCCCCCACCATCACCCCAGGCTGGGAACCCCACAGTAACCAAGCAAGGCTCAGACAGAGGTGGAAAGAAAGGAAGGAAACCTCTCCCTCAAGCAAGGCTGAGCACACAAACACCCCCCAAGCACTGACAGACAACTCCCAGGAACACTCACGGGGTGACACAGATGAACTTGGTCTTCAGGTATGGAGCAGCACCTGCAAGGAGGGAGAAGCTTCATCATCAGCCACCCAAGGATGAATCCTTTCCTCCCCCAGAACACAGACAGTGCCCACCCTCTGCCCATACCCAGCCCCACACTGTGGCTGTGCCCTCCAGGGATGGTACAAAGTCCCAACCAGTGACAGCCAGTTCTGTCCCCAGAGCCTCTCTGTGACAAAGGAGCCACAGAAAGTCAACGACTACCTGAGTCCGTGGCTTCCGAGTGCTCCTGGCTCTCGGAGCGGCAGTACTTCCCAAATGCCTCCTCCTTGGGGATGTCTGGGTACAGGTACACCAGAGGGGACACCAGGATGTTGGTGGCATCCATGATCTTGTAGCCCATGATGATCTCAGCAAAGGACATGTTGTTCAGCTGCTGCTTGGTGTAAGGCTCCACTGACTGGATCTGTGTCTTCCCTGTGCAAGGAAGGAGAATTTTGGCACAGAACACAGGCAGGGCTGCCTTCAGAAACCCCCAGAGCAGTAGAGACAAGATGGGGTTGGGGCTGTGTTTAGCCCTACCAGGCATGCAGCAGACCACAGGGCAGGACTAGGACCTGTGTTCAGTGCCACAGAAAACTGTGCCCATGGGCAGCGCGTGGGCACAGACACCCAGAAGGCAAAGACCAGCTAAGGGCAGCCAGGCTCAGGAGTTAACCCCTGCAGACAGCTTGTTGGGGCAAGGACAAGTGCTTATCAGAGCATCCAAGCCCCCTCTGGAACCTGGAATGCCCAGGCAGGCACCCAGGTAGAGCTCGTACCACTGATGTCCTTCTCCACCCACGTGAAGGTGATGCCACCTTCCTTGCTGCTCTCACTGAAGCGCAGCAGAAAGGTCCCTGGGGGCTTGGTGCTCAGGATGGCTCGCTCCCGCTCCTTGCTGATGAACCCCATGATGTACCTGGGCAGGAGGAAGCAAGAACAACAAATGTGGGCACAGGAGCAGCTCCTCCAGGTTGTTAGTCCTGCCAGCTCTGCTCAACAGCAGAACTCAGCCTGGCCACTGACATTTTATGGATTCCCAGGTGAGTTTTCACTCTGAACCAGCAAAAAGTATCCCAGGACAGCACACCTGCACATGTCAAGGCACCCCACGCCATCAGGCTGGAACCTGTGGGACCCCTTCCAAGGCCCAGCCTAACCTCAGGCTCTGGGCTGGCACTCACCCTTCATTCCACAGTGCCAGGATGTACTTCTTCACCAAGTCAATGATGTTGTCCAGCCAGACCCAGAAGGAGAAGCCTTTGCCAGCCATGTTCTCCTGAGGAAAAGGCAGAGAGGCTGCTAGCACAGCTTGGAGGAAGGGAACAGCCAAGGGAACGTGCTCAGGGAAGAGAGGAAATTCTACCTTGCAGAACTTGGCCCAGGTGATCTGACAGCCAGAGTAATTCACACCTGGTCCTGGAAGAGAAAAAAGAACACAACCATTTAGAGTTGTTCTTCCAAAGACACCATTTCCAGGGTTTGTGCCATTTGGGAGAAAACCAAGCACCTGAAAATTACTCAGGCCAAAAGCTCTCAGGCCAAACACAGGACCTCACTCTTGGATGACATGTACAGGTGGGGAACCACGCCAGGGGACAACAGGGATGGGGAGGACACCCTGCCACGTCACCCCCTCTTACCCAGCAGTTTCTCTGCCAGCGTGGTCAGCTGCTCGATGCTGAGGCCGCGCTTCGTGGTGGAGGAGAACTGCCAGCTCAGCACCTCTGCCACCTGGTCCCAGGTCCCAATGGGTGGCTTGGTGAAGAAGTTCACGTTCTGCACGAGGGAACACACAGCCTGAGTGGGACATGGGACAGGAGCAGGGCCAGGTACTGCCTCAGCCTCGCTGCCCAGCCTCAGTTTCCCTCTCTCACTGTGACACCCCCATCCTGACACATGCCCTGTGCCTTCCCACACCAGCCCTACCTTGGGGTTGTTGGTCAGCATGTTGTACCACAGGATGGATGCCCAGGCATTGGGCATCTGGCAGATGTTGGAGATGACCACCACAGGCAGCGAGTGGGTCTGCAAAGAGAGGATGTGACCATGGGTTGGGACAACTCCCAGGGCTCCACCCAAGCCCGTGGCAGTGGAAGGCAGTGACCCATGCTCACCTCCAGGTCGATCTTCAGCCCCTGGTGATACACCTCTGTCTCAAAAGTGATGAGGTGCAGCTCCTCAGTGACTATCAGCGAGGCCTAGGGCAGAAGGGGACACCATGAGCACCACAAGGCACACACCCTCACCCAACACACGACCACCAGACCCAGCACAGCTGCTGGGGCTGGCCTGGCAAGCTGCCAATGTGCCAGTTGGTGCTGGTGGACACCCCTGCTTCAGGGCAGGGCTCCTGCATCCCCTCCCAGCTCAGCTGCCCCTGACACTCACATCACAGTTGGCTCGGCCTCCATTGCCACAGCGCTGCTCCCGCAGGGTCTGCAGAGAGAGGGACAGGCTGCAGCAGCACCACAATGACACGTGGCTGTACAGCAGCAGCCCAGGAGCTCATGGTACCCACCAGGTGTTTGAACTCTGCTGAGAGGCTGCCGTTGTTTGACTCCTCCATGTTCATGACCTTGGTGTTGGTCCCCAGGATGTTAAACTTCCGAGACCTGGGAAGAGGAAAGTGTGAGGCTGACAGGGCAGTCTTGGAGTGAATGTGTGGTAGGATGTTTGCCAGGAATAAAAGCAGAAACAAGAAATAAGGACCAAAGCAAACAGTGCACTTACCCCCGAAGTGCTGCAACATCCCCAGAGTCCCTAGAAAAGGAGAAAGGGACACCAGGTCATGGCAGTGGCCTTCCTGCCCTGATGCAAACAAGCTGGTGTGTGATGCCAGCTGCATCCCAGCACAAGTCCCATGAGCCCCACAGGCCTTCCCTCAATGTGGGGGTGAACCCTCAGGACCCAGGACCACCCTGCACCCTCCCCTTTCACTGGGAGTCACACTGGCCCTCATTGTGGAGACCAAGCCCAACCCAGGGGCAGCAGGAATCTGTCCCATCCCAGTAAGCCCACCCAGTGCCACTGGAAGGGAAGCACAGCACTCACTTGTCAATGCAGACTTTGATTTTCAGCTGATAGTTCAGCTCTGGAAACTTGACCAACA